GGTCAGTTTTTTAATATGTGGTTTATGTTGCATGAGTTCAAGAAATACTTAGTAAAAATTCAAATTCTACATTTTTTTAAAGCGAAAAAACAATTTAAAAATAGCGTACATAAAGTAGGTATAATTGAATGAAATAGTTTGTTCTCTCGCCTGAAAAATGCTGCTTTGTGGGCTTAGGGCAACTGAACAGCTCAATGATCAAATGTTCTAATTATTACCCGATACGTTGACTTTATTGCCATGTGTACACACAGCATTAGCCGTAATAAGCACAGTACAACACAGCTAGAGTGGGACTTTTGGGTCCAGAAGAAAAACCCCCCAATAGACAAGTTCCCGCTGTTGGAATACAAAGGGAACTACAGAATATTTTGTAAAATTCCACCCGATTACCTCCCTTCTTTATCAATGACATTTTCCCTTCAGATTAGTCTTCCTTTTCTTGTCAACTTCGTTGATTATCTCGGCCTTCAATTCGAATGAGAAACATTTCCTTTTGTCTTTGTTGGAAGCCATCTTTTCCTCAGTCTCGTTGCTTGTGCTGTCTATCGTACCGGAAGGCCTACTGTAGAACTGGTCAATATTGGGCTGTCTATGGCACCGGTAGGCCTACTGTAGAACTGGTGAAGTGGATGTGTGCGTATGCCTGAGCATCAACGACCACAATTCAATGAATCAGGAATCACACACTACACGCTCTCCTCTTTTTATACACCCACTTACCATAGTCTCAACTCCGAAGATGACAACGTTTTTGTAACAGGACAAGTCCGTCTGGAGAGAACAAAGCAAAAGCGTGCCGTAAGTCTTTAGAACGAGATAAGTCAGCAAAGACAAACATGGCTTCAGATTAAATATAATAATAATTTTTTTTAAACTAATCAAAGTTTATTTCTCACCATAGAGGGAAAGTTGGGTCACAATGGTAAACACACATACATAAATACATAATCAAACACACAAATACATAATCAAACACACAAATATATAATCAAACACACAAATATATAATCAAACACACAAATACATAATCAAACACACAAATACATAATCAAACACACAAATATATAATCAAACACACAAATACATAATCAAACACACAAATACATAATCAAACACACAAATACATAATCAAACACACAAATACATAATCAAACACACAAATATATAATCAAACACACAAATACATAATCAAACACACAAATACATAATCAAACACACAAATACATAATCAAACACACAAATATATAATCAAACACACAAATACATAATCAAACACACAAATACATAATCAAACACACAAATACATAATCAAACACACAAATATATAATCAAACACACAAATATATAATCAAACACACAAATATATAATCAAACACACAAATACATAATCAAACACACAAATACATAATCAAACACACAAATATATAATCAAACACACAAATATATAATCAAACACACACATATATAATCAAACACACAAATATATAATCAAACACACAAATATATAATCAAACACACAAATACATAATCAAACACACAAATACATAATCAAACACACAAATACATAATCAAACACACAAATATATAATCAAACACACATACACAAATATATAATCAAACACACAAATATATAATCAAACACACATACACAAATATATAATCAAACACACAAATATATAATCAAACACACAAATATATAATCAAACACACAAATATACACATACAAAGAACACCAAATACAAGATACCTTTACCAATGCAGATAGTTTTATATAGTCTACATATAATAGCCTATACCATATATTTGATTTTCATTTTTTTAAAATATTTTTTTTGATAAACAACAATGATGCTGAAATATTCCTAGACACAGTTTGGAAAAATAAGAGGGAGAGCTCCTTTCTAGAGCCAGCTGGCACTGTAAGGGATACCTCATGGCAGCAAGACACAGACACTCTGTATAGCAGCAAGACACAGACACTCTGTATAGCAGCAAGACACAGACACTCTGTATAGCAGCAAGACACAGACACTCTGTATAGCAGCAAAACACAGACACTCTGTATAGCAGCAAGACACAGACACTCTGTATAGCAGCAAGACACAGACACTTTGTATAGCAGCAAGACACAGACACTCTGTAAAACATACTCTCAACCTAGGAATTGAATACGCATCTTTTGTGTGTTAGGTAAAAAGATTCTATCTCTCTCGTCTCGCATCACACAGACACTGATTGTGGAGGGGGGAGGAGGGTCTATGTTGTTTTATGTTGATAGATTAAATGAATAAAAGAAAATAAGCGTTTGAAGTCATCATTTTTTTCATCCAAAATTTGTGTTCATTTTGGCATCCTTACATATGTACATCTGATGTCTGATTCAGTCTGAGCTACTGTTCCAACATACCTTCCACAAATCTCTGCGGAAGAAGTTGGTCTCTGAATGGACGTTTTGCCTCCACGCCACCCACCGGGAATACCACACCAGCCAGCGGTTGAGCTCCACGCCAGACGCCTGGAAGCCTCGCTCGGCAGCCGCAATGGTCTGCAAGGGGGGACAATAAAAAGAAAGAAAAAAACATTCCAATAACTTCCAAGTTTTATCTAACAGCTTGGTACCTTGTTTGTTCTGGTTGGAGTATTACACAAAGTCAGATGAGAGTGCGGGTCTCAAGTTGGGGGGGATTTTACCGAAGTTCACAGCACGGCTTGGTTTGGCTTTTTCAACTCACTTCAGACGGCTCACACAACAGTTGCGTGACCCCCGCCGCGACGGGTCTCACAAGCCCTGCGTGACCAACTTTGGAATTTTTTTTCACTCTACAAATCACGCACGGATCGCGAGACCCGCCTCGTACCCTTGTTTGGCCAAGCCTGAGCTACTTAGACTTCGTTTCGTATCTCTGGGGCCGGTAGTTTTTAAGTTATTGAAGGTGAAGGACATTGACCCCAACTGGGGTTGAACAGACCGGAACTCGCACTTTGTTTTTTTCTATACAGCTGATAGTAATCCGACAGTCGCGTCGTAGTAACGGTCGAAGAAGTCGCATGAACAAGAATCACATAATTTCGCCGTTTTCTATACTTCTGTACGTTTTACTAGTTCTAGTGTCTCAAAATATGATGTGTCTAATAGTTAAGATCCTGGATATGTACCCGAACACGGCCCGAGTCGTAGTTCTAGGACTAGATCTAGCTCTAGTACCGGTGTTGTTTTTCGCGCAACGAAATCACAACGACGTGCCGTACATCTGTCTCACGTAATTCAGTGTATGGGTCTGAATCAATGCACAGACCAGCTTTTATATTTTCACCAAACACTCGCACATGTATGCAAATCAAACCAGAACACTTTGAACTTTTATTTTTGTTGGTGTAGTGAATTTCATTCTACTTGTCATGTGTCTGGAAATTTTTCGGAAAATCAAATTCATGCCAATTTTTAAAAAATCATACAAATTAAAATATTACACTTAGACAACTTTAGTTTTTTTGTGTTAGATTAAGCTTGAATGTTACTTTACTGTGTCAAAAAATAATTACAATAGGGTAATTCTGAGAGTTGTGGTGATTTATTGAAATACCCCCCAAAACGCCAGTCTTCAACGCTTGTGACTGGTGAAAGGGCCCAGTCGCAAGTGAGTTAATGTCGAAATAGCTGAAGTATATTTAAAAACACAAAGTAAAAGTTCATTTGTTGAATAACAGTAGTTAACAGGTTTAAAATGACATTGTATTTACAGTTTGCCGTAAAGACCAATGGCCTTTGTATAGGTAATTCTGTTAGGATCAAGAACAGAGCAAGTTTTCCAGATTAGTGTACTTAGATTTAGAACATTTCCTTCAGGTCTCTCCAAAGTCCAGACATTCTATTAGGATGGGCCTGATGGTTCGGTCAGCGTCACATGCAGTATCTGGTTCAGATCCAGGGCTCAAATAACTCCACAATGAGTCTTCTGACCGATCACCGTAATTCATCTCCCTGTCTGAACCCATCCTGTTACAAACAAAATCCAGCACTGTGTAGTTTTAGTAAGAGTTTTACGGCATTTGCAACACAATAAATAAGGTCATAAAAGTGTGTTACTAGAGAGAAATATACAGAGAAAAAGAGGAGGAGAGATAAAGACGATAGATGAAATCATCATGTCTGCTCAGGAATGGGAGAAAGGGTTGCACACTTCATTGTTCACAGATTTTGAGGAAGATTTATAAACTTTATTATAATCAACAATTATATTTCCAACACTGCTGAGTGCAGTTATCATTAATCTTCTATTTAAAACAAAAGTTAACATTTTCTCATGACAAGAATATATACTAAAAAGCTGACAATAAGGAAAACGACAACTGTCTCAAATGTGCACTGCTATAGTGACATGCAGGCATCACTTTTCCAGTAAGAGAAAAAAAAGGATATATATATATATATGGTCTATGTTCTATATCTTCAGCAAGTTGTTCAAATGTACAATGCCCAGATGAGAAATTATTTAATGAAGATTTTCAGGGAACAATTTCGTAATTGGAAAATATGTCGATATGTCCAAATGTCAATACATCGGCTGTCAATGTAAGTGGATTATACAGTACATCTGAATAGCTGGGCGACAGTTTAAAGAGAACGGTCCCGGCACGTTCGAGAAACACTGACCAGTCACAAGGTGCACACTTACAATCCGACCATCTCCACTGCCAATGTCAATGAGACTCCCAGTCCTCCCTCTCAAAGCCCTCAACACATTGGAAACTTGCTCCGACGAGGCTGGGATGTAAGGCAAGGCAAACCGTCGAAGTCCTGGCAAGACAAATGGAGCCATGACAGCCGTGACGCCAGCGACAAAGGCGCCAGAGACGCCCAGCATCACCGCCCCTCGGCGACTCAGTTTGGGAGGCTGTGAGTGCTTCCCCGCCGCTGACAGCTCGGCGCAGATGTCACATTCTTCCACTGTCGCGCCCGGAGAGGAAAGTCTGGTCGAGGTCAGGGGGTCTGGCGGGGGAGGGGAAGATTTTGCCACATTCATACTTCGGGCACTGTCCACCACTGGTCAAAGCTGCCGTCCTGGGAATCAAAACAGCAACAATGTTGATCGGTCAAATATTGCAGAGTTGTCTTGTGACCCTCAGCTCCCCAAATGACCTAAATGGTGTCACTCAGAGTAGAGCATAGATATTTAAAACAAATTAACAATTACAATTTTCTTTCATTCGTTATTTTAAAACAAAATTCGACACTTTCATAAAATTTGACATTTAAGCAACATATTTCATCAAACTGATATGTGTAGGTAGTGGTTGTGGATCATAATTATCACTTGTTCACCCTGATTTTGGCTTTCTTTTTTCAATTTACAAAACAAAGGCTGAATAAAATCACGACCAACTAAAGTTGCAAACTTAATTTTTTACTGAACCTCTCAAGACTAGATCTCTACAAACGACCCATGATCTCATACCCTAGTGTACTTTGTCGTAGTAGACAACACTATCACTTTAGAGATCTCTATTCATGCTATACTTTGAGAACTAATGATTGTTAGGCCTACGCCTTAGCCTTAGTATAGATGCCATGATCTAGGCTATTACCGTCCAGGAGGCTACACTGGCTAACTATATATATATCTATATTATATGACATAAATAAAATATGACGAGAGATGAAAATGTTCAAGCTCTATGCACACAACGTTTCCAGTTCCAACCAGACTAATAAATTGTTCAAGCTAGGGACTTGGAGTTACTGGTGCGAACGTATAATAAAATTATAATAATTGTATTGTTAATTGAATTTGTAGACCTATCTTAACTATCTATCTTTGCTGCAGCGCAGGACAGGGTGAAGTGGAAGTCCATGATCGCCCACGCCAGTCGGCAAGGCACCGGATGATGACGATGATCTAGTCCCCGTCCCAGTCTAAACACTCAACTCAACTTTTCAATCTTTCATTGATTACTTACATGGTGAACTTAATGACTTTGCAGTGAGCTAAAGCTCTGACTGGTGACTGCTAAGTGTTTAGTTTTAAAGTAAGGTTTTACGGCACTCGCAACTAACTGCATAAAAGGTCATATGAGCGCCAAGGGGTGGATGTCAACAGAGAAGTCCTTACAGGGAATCAGGCTTACTCTGCTCATCTCTCTATCCTCAACTGCACAAAGTCTGCTTCAACTATCAAGGTACCCCGGAAATAGCGGGTCACAAGAGAGAGACAAACATACAAAAGAAGTAGAGGAAAATGACGAAGGTAAGGAAAGGATGAGGAAAGAAATAGCAGCAGCAGTTCCCTCTATGTTGTTCCGGCACAGTATAAAGTATGAGCATGACATAGATAAATCAGCCCATTTACAATTCCACTGTACATAAAACATGTTAATAACCCCCCCCCTCCCCCATATGGCGACTGTGAGTGTGAGTGAGGTGACTAGATTTCTAGATCTTGACATTCTTGACTTTGACCGAGGTCTTTGGGTAGGCCCTGGCCCTAGACTAGATCTACAGGACCGTTGCTTACTATTCAATCATGCCAATGCATGTACAAGATATCCTCATCAAGCAATTGATCGAAACCAATGTGATTTTTCGAATCCTCAGAGATGTTGCTGTATATATGTCTGTCACACACAGAATTCTATCTGTGGTCTGTCACAACTCCTCACGACTCACGGTCACCGTTTCTTACGTGTTTGTGTGATGATAGCAGCTAGCAGTTGTCTGCAGTAGAAAAACTAGCTACTCAACACTCAATTTTCGCATCGGATAAGTGGAAAATTAATAATTCTGGGAATTTTGATACCAAATTTATAAAACGATATTTAAAGAAAATTATGAACGTTTAACATTTTATATTTGTGGCCACCTCACGGAATGTGAATAGCACGATGTTCAGAGACAGCTCACGCATAAACAAACTCCGCTGCACAAACTAAACTTCTTCAGTCAAGACACCTCACCCCCCCCCCCCCCTAGACATCTGGTAATTCGAAATTATCAAAATTTGATATCCTCAAAAAATGGGCCGGACGCCAATATCATCCTTTTTGCAAAGAGGAGGCAAAGATTTGTTTGCCATAGACCCATTTCTGGAGGAGCCTGTGGCTTTAGTTCCCGCCCAGGTCTGTGGTCTTGCAGCAGTCTGGTACATCTGCCATTGACATCACACATCTACACGTTCTGTCGGAGGCAAGGAGATTAAAAGTAGTTCTAAGCTCCTTGGTCTGAGGCTAACACAGCACGTGGACATGGGTGTCGGGCGCCTCTATGAAATACATTATGATTGTCAAGGTTCTGTCAGTCACTAGCAGCGCGCTGAGCAGGGATACTGACTTCAAGTTTCCATTATACGTAGTCAAGGCAAAGATCGTGTATACGGTTAGAGAATCTTTGGTCAAGGCACGGTGCACTCACTGTGGTATACGCTTCTATACTATCTACTGAGAGTCTAGACTGTGGTAAACACTCCTATATATACTATCTACTGAGTGAGAGTCTAGACTGTGGTATACACTCCTATATATACTATCTACTGAGTGAGAGTCTAGACTGTGGTATACGCTCCTATATATACTATCTACTGAGTGAGAGTCTAGACTGTGGTATACGCTCCTATATATACTATCTACTGAGAGTCTAGACTGTGGTGTCCGCTCCTATATATACTATCTACTGAGTGAGAGTCTAGACTGTGGTATACGCTCCTATATATACTATCTACTGAGAGTCTAGACTGTGGTATACGCTCCTATATATACTATCTAATGAGAGTCTAGACTGTGGTGTCCGCTCCTATATATATACTATCTACTGAGTGAGAGTCTAGACTGTGGTATACGCTCCTATAATATACTATCTACTGAGTGAGAGTCTAGACTGTGGTATACACTCCTATATATACTATCTACTGAGTGAGAGTCTAGACTGTGGTATACACTCCTATATATACTATCTACTGAGTGAGAGTCTAGACTGTGGTCAAGGCACGGTCCACTGTGGTCTATACCCCACCTCCTGGCGAGCTGTGGAGGGTCAACTTCATGTGGTCTGACCAATACGTTCTTACACTGACGTCTCTCTGAGTCTCGGGTGTGGCCGCGGCAGCGTTGGTGAGCCACAACCTCACAGACGAGCGGCTTGTCAAGTCCTGGGCCCTTGTACAGGTGAGACGACAGTGTTTGTCTTTCCCTCAATAACCGACACAAATAAATAAGCGACTTTGTAAACTTGGCATGTGTCCACACCGTGTTCTGCAGTGTGGGAATGGGTCTCCGAATCTGAATAGGGCACTTGGAATTGCAAAATAAAAATTAAACAAACATTAATAGATCTACTTCTCTTCAAATATATTTTTAAAAATTAATATAGGCCTACTCACCAACGCACTCCTTGAGAACATATTCAAGAAAATTGGTGGAATATATTATTACAACGATATTATTATTATTATTATTATCAGCTCGGCTATCACGGGTTAGTGGGCGGTGCACCGACATACGACGCTCGTCTGCCTCGTCTGGCTTATGCTCGGTCAAGGAAAGTTCCCAAGTGTCGGGGCTTTCACTGACACTGACACATATATTGGTCCTAATACTGTTTACATAATATTCTTATGGAAAAATGAATGAGCTTTTCAGCCATATATTTACACTTTAAATATTTCAATAAAGCCCGTTCAAAAAAGTGTTTCAAAATATTTGATTGCAATTTTTATGCACTTTGAGTTGAAATTACAGCCAGCTAAAAGTATACTGGAAGAGACATCAATTGAAGTACATTGTACTTTAGTAAGGAGTTGATTACATTGTAGTCGATTTAACAAGATAGGAGCACCGACGATTGGAAAACACATTGGGCTGTGGAAGTTCGAAAGACACTGAGAAGCAGATTCAAAGCAGTGCTGGACTTTACCCTATGTAATATTTATTTATTTATTTATTTATTTATTTATTTATTTATTTATCTATTTGTTTTCTTCGCTTATCCGGTGATTTCACATGAAAGATTACGGGCAACAATTAGTAAACATTATCATACTGGAGTGGGATCCCACAAGCGAGGGTATCTCGATCACCCGCTGCACGCCATTTTCGCTCAGTTCATGTACCGGTACGCAGGTCTGCGCGTATTAGTTAGATCTACTTTGACCACTTTCCAAACAGGTCTAAAATAGATGTATAGAATCCTGTTTTGATTCCTCTCCCAACAACAACAACAAATGTGATCGGCGGCCACAGACACTGTCTTTTTGTGTACGTGCGTCCGAGTACTTGTGTGTGTGTGTGTGTGTGTGTGTGTGTGTGTGGAAA